GCCGTCGAGGGGCCGGGGTGGCTTTGTCGTTCGAACGCTCGCGGATCCCACGGGGCACAAAGATGCTCCGAAAGGTCCTGGCAAGGAAGGCGCTTCCCGGGTGAAGCGTGTTTGCTTCCTTTCTTGCTCACAGCGAGGGTGGCCAAGTCCTTTTTCTCCCCAGGATGGCAGAAGACATCGTTAAAGGATGGGTTTGTAATTTAGCCTCTCTAATATTCTCCGCGGGCCGGTTTGAGCTGGGGTCGACGTGAAGATGGAGTCCCCGTGTTCTGTAGTGTGGAAAGCACCAGAACCATTGCTGTCTGCTGTTTATTGACCATGATAAAATCACCCTTGTTTTTGATAGAGCAGCAGTGATTAAAAGTGATTAAAAGTGGTTAAAAGTGATCAAAAATTCCAATTTCAGGGTAAAACGCTTCAGCTGTCCAAGAGCAGGGGGATGCCAGTAGGCAGCTCGTGCGGAATACGTGCGTCCTGCCCACGTCCCTTCTCATCTGGACCTTCTGCTGAAAATTCCCCTGTTCCTTAACATAATTTGTGAGTTGGTGCCGCTCTTTCTTTGCTGCAGCGGCCTCTCGGTGCTGTTACGAGTCAAGTACCAGTTGCGACGGCATCAAAAAGCCAAAAGCACCGTCCCCAAGATGTTCCAGGACGTCGTCCGCCGGCACCCCGACAAAGTGGCCCTGATTTACGAGGCCACCGGCGAGCAGTGGACCTTCAGGAGGCTGGACGAGTACTCCAACGCCGTGGCCAACTACTTCTACCAGCAAGGCTTCCGGCTGGGGGACGTCATCGCCATCTTCATGGAGAGCCGCCCCGAGTTTGTCGGCCTCTGGCTGGGGATGGCGAAAGTCGGCATCGAAGCGGCGCTGATCAACTTCAACTTGCGCTTGGATTCTCTGGTTTACTGCGTGACGACGTCGGGCGCGAAAGCCATCATCTTCGGAGGGGAGCTGTCTTCGGGTGAGTCGCTTGGACGTTCGTGGTCCCGAGTAAGTCAGAGATCGAGGAAACTACAAACAAAAAGGCAGCTGGCCGCGTTGAAGGCTGGGGAAGACGGTAAATCTCCTGGTGACAAAAGGCAGAAGCGCTCGGCCGGCATCTGAGCCTACAAGAGGAGCGGAGTTTTGAGGAGAGCGATCACAGAATCACAGAATAGTAGGGGTTGGAAGGGACCTCTGTGGGTCATCTAGTCCAACCCTCCTGCCCAAGCAGGGTCACCTACAGCAGGCTGCACAGGACCTTGTCCAGGTGGGTCTTGAATATCTCCAGAGACGGAGACTCCACAGCCTCCCTGGGCAGCCTGTTCCAGTGCTCCGTCACCCTCAGAGGGAAGAAGTTCTTCCTCATGTTCAGACGGAACTTCCTGTGCCTCAGTTTGTGCCCATTGCCCCTTGTCCTGTCACTGGGCACCACTGAAAAGAGCTTGGCCCCATCCTCCTGACACCCACCCTGCAGATATTTGTAGGCATTTATAAGGTCCCCTCGCAGCCTTCTCTTCCTCAGGCTGAACAAGCCCAGTTCCCTCAACCTCTCCTCGTAGGGGAGATGCTCCAGTCCCCTCACCATCCTCGTAGCCCTAAAGTCAAAAATTTGCAGTGCTGTATGCTCCTTGCATGCCCCTATGAGAGGGTGTGAGGCATAACCAGGACAGAAGTTTGGGCACCTCTATGCTGCTACATAAGAACTAGGAAGAAAAGATGACTGAAGGGTAACGGTCTTTGGTGTCGTCAGCAAACTTGCTGAGGGTACATTCTAACTCTTCATCCAGGTCGTTGATGAAGAAGTTAAACAAGACTGGGCCCAGTACTGGCCCCTGGGGGACACCACTGGTTACCAGCCTAACTACCAGATCGGTAGCTCGGTTTCGTCTCCTGGCATCTTCCTGGTACCGTGGTGCCGGAGCGGACCTCGCGGGTTTGCTCTGGTGTCGCTGGAGCTGGAAGAGCTGCGCCGGGAGTCGTGGGCTCAGCAAGAGGTGGCGATGCCGCAGGGCGCGTTTTTCTCGTCTGCTCCATTAATACCTCGGTGCCCCACTCTCTGCCGCAGGAGAGGTTTCTCGATGGATGCTGGCTTTAAACACCCCCCTGCCTCTCTGACGAGCTCTGTTCTGGCGGTTATTATTAGGTCTGGTGGTTTATTATTCTGAATCCTCGCCTCGAAACCATTCCAGATCGTTTGGACATCGGGACGTGGTCATGGGGAGAGGCAATTCCGTGTAGGTTTTTTGTTAGGGTCTTCCTACAAAAAATCTGGCCCATCTGGAGTAATCTGTCCAGTTCTGGACTCCCCAGTTCCAGAAAGATGAGGAGCTACTGGAGAGAGTCCAGTTCTGGGCTCCCCAGTTCCAGAAAGATGAGGAGCTACTGGAGAGAGTCCAG